AATTTCCTGACTTTTGGAAACTCTCTTACGTTACTCCCATTTACAAATCGGGCAACAAATCTGATGCAAAAAATTATAGCCCCATTTCCATCCTAAGCACAATCCCAAAAATCTTTGAAAGTATAATAACTGATTTTCTAACAAATGACTGCTCCAATATCTTAAATTCCCAACAATTTGGTTTTTCGCCAGGCAAATCTGCTGAACTGGGCTTATTAACGTATGCCACCTTTCTGTATGAAGCTTTTGAAAGGCAGATTCTGTGTATACTGACTTTTCCAAGGCCTTTGACAAGGTGAACCATGATCTTCTCGTTCATAAGCTCAATTTACATGGTATATATGGGACGGTCCTACAGTGGCTAAGTAGTTATCTAACGAATAGGGCTCAACAGGTCCCAGTAAATAATCATTATTCCAAAATTTTACCAGTGTTTATCAAGGGTCTCACTTAGGATCGCTATTATTCAACCTGTTAATAAATGTCACAACCTGCTTTCCTGTCACTAAAGCTCTATTGTTCGCAAATGACTGGAAGTGCTTCAAGATCATTCATTATTATGATGACACTTGAATTTTGTAATCGGATTTAAATAAACTAACAAGTTGGTGCTCTAGTAATGGCATGGATTTAAATATTAACAAATGTCACATTATCAGATTTTGTCGAAGCCATCATTTAATAATGCATAATTATAGTTTATTTCACCATTTTTTGGAACCTGTCGATCAAATCAAGGATCTAGGGACCACATTTGACTCTTCCATGAGCTTTAATGGCCATATCACTGCTACAGTTCAAAAATCAATGAAAATTCTAGGCTTTGTCAAGAGAACAACTCGTGATTTTACTAATCTAAACACAATTAAAATTCTATACTTCTCTTTAGTTAGGACACACCTTGATTATTGCTCCTCAGTCTGGTTCCCACACTACCTAAGTCATAAAAGTAAACTGGATGGAGTTCAAAATACTTTTCTTAGACACCTAGCATTTATGTTTAACATTTACTACAATTATGCGGAATTGCAACAAAATTTAAGCACACCTTCTCTGGAAGTTCATAGGAAACGAAAAGCTATGCTTTCCTTGGGTTGGCTTAATAATTTTAAAAACTTTTCAACATATAGTAGCTCTAATTGACTTTTTTTACTTTTATAGTTCCTATGTAGGTCCAATTCATATATATATCTGGCAACTACAATCCGTCAATTCAAAACAAACCTTACAGAAGCTGTGGGAGAAAATGTACATTGTAGAAATCAAAAATCGACCTGTCTCGGCGATTTTCCTAACAAGACTCCAGTAACGAGTTAGATAGGGGGGGTAAGACTTATGGTGCTCACTGTATAATTCATACAAAATAGTTTAAAATTTAAGAAAAGTAAAGTTATTGAACAATTAAATCAAAATCAATTCCAAACCATTCAAGGATCCTCCATATACAGGTCTGGTATTCCTCTTAAGCAATTTTCAGATAAAAATATTTTTAATTTAGTCTTAAATTTATTTATGATAATTCCGAATATATAATGGTAGCATATTAAACAGCTCAACATTACATTTCTTTGTTTTTTTAGTCTGTATTGTAGTTGTGTACATGGGAGGGTGAAAAAAAGTGTCTGTTGTTTCTTATGAATTATTATTGCATATGTTATGTTGGGAATGGGGTCTTAATACACTGCGACCTAAAAGATCTATTTGTGCCCTCTTCTGTCGCTAATGCAGCAAGGAAATGTCTCAATGCCTATAACGACCCCTCCAATCCTATCTTCTTAAGGAAGTGTAGGATTTGGAGTGATTTCAAGTTAGGTAAATCTCCCTCTTCTATTTGATATGCTCCTATGCCCTTGGATTCTGGAGTGCTACACATTCAGGCAGAATGTGAATGGAGGTTTCGTCCTCCTCCTCACAGAATCTGCACTATCTTCTACTACTTTCAGTTTACCAAGGTGTCCTTTTAGTTGGCAATGCAAGGATCCCTGTTACAATACTTAGCCTGTTCTAGCTCAGGCAGATGCAGGCTTCTGATCTTTTCTGGTTATATTCACCCAGAAGTATCTTAACCTGTCTTAGGCCTCAAGAGATTGTTTTAATTATCGATTCTTCTACTGCCCCATTCTTTTTTAATCTCTTCTAATATTATGTTACTACTGATACCACAGAACGGCTCAGATCTCACAAAGGGTGTTTGAGCTCCTTTCCTTGCGAAATTATCTGCCATCTCGTTCCCTTTACCCCGTTATGTCTCAGGACCCAAGTGAGATTCCATATAGTCATTATTTTAATTTATGAGAAAAGAGGTGTACTGCTGGCTTGCCAAGAAGCACCTGTTATGGCTTTTATGAATGATTTTTGTAAAATTAAAGTGTATGCTGCATTGTCCCATATTGAATAAAGCTCGCAATTTAGGGTTAAAAGTAAGTAGTTTTCTTAGAACACCTTATTAGCCCCAAGGTGCAATGGTTATGTGATAAATGTGTAATTCTGGGTAGGTTTAGTGTGACAAAACTATATTACATATATTAAGCAAACGTCATATAAAAACAAAAACAATATTAAAGAAATTTAATAAAAATAAAAAACTTTATACAATCAATTGAAGACGTTATATAATTAAAGGACATTGATGGTGTGTTTGATGATTTTGTTACATTTTCAGTGGTGCTTTGAGGTAGCGCTCCCGAAACAAAATATAATGCAGCATGCTAAACAAGGAAACAAAATATAATGCAGCATGCTAAACACGGAAACAAAATACCCTTCTTGAGTCAACTACACTCTGAACTTAAACAATTCAAAGGCCTGAATTGGATAAGACAAAAAGGCGATGATTCTTCTTTAACAGAATAATATAAAAAACAAAAAATCTCTCGATACAAAATTCTGCAACGAGAAAGGATTGTACCAATCTAATATAATTAACGACTCAAATAACAAAGCTAAATCTCTGTGGAATTTAGTCAACTCAAAACTGGATAGAGAGAAAAAAAAAAATAAAAAGGAAATAATCTTGTCAAATAATGGGACAACCATAACTGGACAAAAAGAGGTCACAAACACATTCGGTCACTACTTGCAAATTTGGTTACTGATAAGATCAACAATTTAAATCTACCCCTTAATTCTTGCACATCAAGTAAGATAAGAGGTCCGAATTCAATGTTTTTTGCACTGATTACTCAAGGTGGGATTAAACAGTTAATTCTAACACTTAAAAATAAATACTCTGCTGGTTTTGATGAAATACCAGCTATTATATTGAAACAATGTGTGGAAACAATCTCTTGCCACATTACCAATTTATCTGTTACTCAAGGCCAGTTCCCAAAAAAACTAAAAATTAATAAAATGATTCCTTTACTCAAAAAAGATGACAGTCAAATTGTCGAAAATTACAGAATGATATGTATACTTAGCCGTTTCTCAAAACTTATTGAAAAGGCTGTTTAAAAACGGTTAATTGAATAATTGAGCTTGTACAATGTCCATGAAAATATCAAGCAGAACAACTATTTAGTGGGAATATTTTTTTCGACCTACATGATTAATCCCACTTACTTATTAACAAAACTTGAAGCAATGAGCATTAGAGGTCTAATTCAATCTTGGATCAACTTATATATGTCTGAGAGAACACTCAAAGTGCACATTGATGTTGAGTTATCTGAGGAGTTTAGTACTTTTATTGGAACTCCGCAAAGTGGAGTATTAAAACCACTTTCATTTCTCCTCTACATAAATGACCTACCCTTAAGTATAACAAATGTACCAATTTTTATATATGCAGACAACACAACAATTGTAATTTTGTAATTGTAGCTGACAGTTTAAATGAGTTACTTAAAAAAATACAAATAATCATGAATGAGTTCATTCATTGGTGTCAAAAAATCATCTCATTATCAATTAAAATAAAACTATTTTTATCCAATTCACATCTACAATTAAGGAAGGCAACAACATAACGATTAAATAATAGCCAAGCTTGAGACTGGGGAACACACCAAATTTCTTGGTCTGGAATTAGATTCCAAACTAAATTTTAACCATCTAATTGACTCTCTCTGTAAAAAATTTAGTAAACTCTACATTGCTTTCAATAGTTTATAATCAAATTTTTATAAATCTCACCTACTTAAAGTGTATTATGCATTTATATACTCTGCCATCATGGAAATTGGGTGAATATTTGTCCTCCAAAAGTGATTTATTCCCCTAATTTTTAACCTAGATTACAAGGAATCTTGTAGCGATACATTTAAAAAGAATAACATCATGTCCTGCACATGCATCTATCTTTTCAACCTACACTTTTCTTAATAAGAATGAGTTTAAAAAAAAATAGTGAAGTCCATAATTATAACAGGAGAAATAAAAATGAAATCCACCTAAACAGATTCAATCAATTTCAACTAAAAAATCTCCAACATAGGAGTTTTTTAATTTGCTTTAATTCAAACAAAGAAATAACACATTTTAACAAATTCAAGACCAGTTTAAAGTTGTTTTTAACTGAAAATTGTTTTTATTCTCTAGACGAATTTATTGGCTGGAACAATGACACCTAATTTTAACAATACTTTATAGGTATCATAATTTTATTCTGTAATTTTATTTTATTATATATTTTGATTCTGTACTAAATGTTAACCGTTAATGTTTTTATTAAGATCATTTTTAGCTTATTATTTATCAACTTATTGTACCTTATGAGTAGGTATGCTATGTTTGTGACTTGAAAATGATAAAAAGATCAATAAATGTATCTATCCGAATTTTAATATTTAAATAAGTGTCACAATATTGTGATGCAGCAACAAGTTTTTCCCTATAAAAGATAAATTAGAAAAACCCCATTAAAAGCCATAAATATTTTAATAAATGTAAACATTTTTAAATAATATGAAGATCTAATAAAATCAAATTCTTTAAAAATAAATACAAATATACCTACTTATAAGTTTCTCTCATATTTAGATGTGCACAATAAAAAGTACCTTGTGTTGAACCTGCCCTTCTAATCCATATAAATCTTTGTATTTATCAAACTTCGGTATTGATTTAATTTGATTTTTTCCTTGATTATGTCCTGCATGACCCACACACCACACAGAACATTGTAATTTTTCGTGAATCTTTTTAGCAAATTGGTCATAAAAACTAATAATACCAGGATTTCCAGGAATGATTACCACCAAATCTTCTGAATCTTTAAATGACTGTCCTACTTCTTTACCTAAAGTTGATACTCTAGTTGAAACTTGATTCACCACAACATAGGTTTCCATTATTTTTCCCATCATTTCACTTTCTTAACACTCTGTGGTCAATTACTAAAATGTTGGTTCAAAATGATTACTGTTACTTATAGGAAATTTATTAAATGCTGTTGTTAAAAATCAAGTTAATATAGTTCAAAGTTCTATTACTGTAACACGAAAGTTAGTTATTATTTAACACAAAATTTAACCTTCATACTCGATAAATTCTACAAAAAAAATGATTCATAAATAGATAATTATTGGTTTCTCTATATTGTGTTCCTCAAAATTATTAAATAAGCCTACTTTCAATTATCTATAAAAAGCACTGGACTGTACAAAAATGATTTATTAAGGCACTTCATTAATAATTGATAAAACCAATAACCAAATTACAGGCATATGTATACATCATCTATTTTTTTATCTATAAAATTAGAAATGAATTATTTTACCTATAGGGACATAGAGCTCGACATAGAGACATCTAGGCCATTTTTCGTTAGCATTGAAATAGCATACATTAACTTTTTATTATTATCAATCGTTTTTAAGATATTTGATAACAGCGCAAATTTGAATTGAACTGTAATTTACCTATTTCTTTAAAAAAAATAAAGATCATTCGATCCATAGAAAAACTAAAACATTCGATCATTGGTCACCACTTCTTCTTCATCAGTCATTGTGATGTCTGATGTCATTACTGTCAATAATTCTAACATAGAACCCTTATTAAGGGGTTACCGGCCACTCGCTCAGTTTCTGATGAATCTTTAATGGCCTTCTTAAAAAAGAAGAATTTTTAGCGGGCATTTCAATAACTTAATTTCTAAAGCGAATTTACAATGTTGAAAAATTATTAAACCGATTTTTTTGTTTTTTACATGTAATGAATCAATTATCAAATTTAATAAACACAATGCAAAAGCGTTTTCAATCTACCTACAAAATAAATAGAATAAACCAAGGGACTTGAGTTATGTATAATAGGTATATTATATTATCACCTAGGTACACTGGTATACTTACATAAGAAATAACATTAATTCATGTCATTCACTTGAATATTGATTAATTTCCAATCAATAATCAATATGTATGAATTGTTCTTTACTCTTTCGAGAATCATTGTCTACTTACCGTCGGAAAACAATTTTGAATTCTCATCTATAGTTCATTTTTTATCTCAAATTTTACCGACTTTGCAAACGTGTAATACTTATCCTAATTAATTTACGACGAGAAAGTAAAAAATAGCAAACATCCTTTTGACTCTTTTTAATGCCGTTGGCAAAGGAAACAGGTATAAATTAATTATAATCTGTTGGTTGGAAACGTAAACAGGCAATATGTAGATAATGTGCGCGCGCTTAACGCGACCTGTACCATTTTCGTCATACATTAAACTTTTTGTTATATTGCTTTCAAGTTAATTATATCTTTAAGAATATAATTAATTTGTAATGTAGCATCCAAATAATTTAGTTATGTGATAATTTGTTGCTAGTGAAAGAATATTTCATCGAAATGTTATGATTAATAGAAGACAGTCGATCGAAAAATGGAATATTTTATATGGAAGAGAAGAGAAATATCTACCGTTGTTGCCGCCGGAAGAGTGGCTTGTCATTAGACAAAAGTAGTTCCAGCAAAATATTGACAGTTTTTGAATGTTTGTTACACATTTTGATGTGTTGTAGGCATTTAGGCCTTTATATGAATCGTGTAAAATCATTTAATTGCTTTTATTAGATCTGAAAATGTGTTACAATTTAATTACAGATATTGTTGACTAGTTTACTCGCCCAAGATGGCTGCCGACGGAGTTTATTTTTCTTGTGTGCCGCGTGTGAATATCAAATAAATTTGTTGTGGATTAATGTAACATGTTTTTAGAATATTTTATGATTATATTAGAAAACTAAAAATTGATTATATACACTGGACTTTCCGTAATCGGTTTACAAATCTTGTGAAATGCGTTTTAATTTTGGAGGGCACATATCTCTGTGCCGCCGGATACTGAACTTTTTGTTTTGACACTATTATTGGATGAGAATTCATCGAATTTCGTCAAGTTTAAGTTTATTTAGGCATGTGCGAACCTGGAGAAGTTTCCCAGCAAGTCTGGTCGGATTGGTTTTTGGAGGCAATTAGAAAAATTCGTTCTCAAAAACAGAGACCTAGTGTAGAAAGAATTTGTCATGCTATTAGACAACACCACAATTACCATGAGGACGTTATTGGTGAACAGTTGGAAGCAGCTGTTAAAGAAGGGACCGTATTAAAGGTTTTTAATAAAGGCCAGAGTTCCTACAAAGATCCAGGTGATTTGCAAAATCGTACTCTCAAAATAGAGCAGGGTGTAGATATAACAAAAGTGGTAGCTAAAGCGGTTCGAGAATTAGGTGAACGTGACGGTTCTTCTTTTAAATCTATTGAAAAACATATTAGGAAGTCTCATTCGGTAGAAGAAAATACTGAACATGACTTAAAAGGTGCTATTCGAAACGCCGTCAAACGAGCTTTATCAAGAAATATTATCCTGGAGAATGGAAAAAATTTTAAATATAATTATAATCATCAAAGTATGGGTATAAAAAGAAAACATGATGGCTCAAGGAAGTCCTCGATTCAAGAAGATTGCTCCATGGCGCCAAAGGTAAAATATTTTGATATTGTGATGTGATATTATTGAGATATAATTTCAAATGAATAATAAAACTCTTCACATTTTGCATACTAGGCCCACTATCAGAATTTGATCGACCTATAAAATTTTTAGTTTCGACAGAAAATATTCTTTAATTTTCTCGTTTAACTAATGTTTGAGTATGCCTGATTATAGCACTAGTATTTAATCTGTTACACCTCTAGTTCTCAGTCTATTTGGGACACTATAATATAATAATTATGATAGGAAGATAACATAAATATATATAAAACAAATCGAGCAAAAATTACTTTGATAATCCTGAGTTAATTTCACCCTTAAACTAAATTATTTTTTTTAATAATATTTAGGTACCTACATATATTATAATAGTGATACAAATAAACAAGTTCCCCTGTAAAATTATGTAATTAATTTAAAAAAAAATAAACAATTTAAGATATAGGTACTTAGTTATATAAAAAATCTGATGTGTCCAACACATGACTTTCCTGTCTAGTTATTACATGCTTTTTCTAGTTATTTTGAACAACCTATTTTATCACCCTGTAAATGTTTAGAGGATGAACTAAATATATACATTTTCCACCTTACATCTTACTCGAAACATTTTTCATGTATTATATTCATTGCCAAGGATACCTAATACTGAAAAATTAAAATTTTACAATTTTCCTCAGATTTTTCCATTACGGTGCATTTTAGAGAAATCTTGCATGGTATGAAATCTTGTATGAAACAAAAATTATAGAGATCGATATCGCAAACAACTTTTAGTTTAACAATTTTCTTAGAATTTTGCGCTTTTTGTCGAAATTCTCACATACGGACCAGTTTAATAAAATTATGTATAGAATAACATTACACGCAACTTTTATTTAAATAATTTTCTTCTCCAAGCGTAAATAACATATATTCCATAAAGTAGAAAAACGCTCTTCTATAAAAGTAAGTACCCTCTAGATTTTCCGACCATTTCCAAAAATTTAATGATTTTACCGCAGGGTGGATTGAAGCCTAAATTAAAAATTTGATGTTTTTCTCTTTATCCGTTTTCAAGTTTTCTTTAAAATTAGAAATTTACACTTTTTCTCAAATATCTTGAATATGGTACATTTTAGAGAAATTATGTGTAGGACAAGAATTATAGAGAATAATATCACAAACAACTTTTATTTGAACAATTTTCTTAAAAATTTGTTTTTTTTACATTTTGTCAAATTTCTCGAATACGGACCATTTTAGGAAAATTTTGTGTAGAACAAACATTATAGACAATATAAGAAGTAACTTAACTAACTTTTATTTGAAGACATTTTTTCTTCAAATAACATATATTCCATAAAATATAAAAACGACCCCATTTAAAGTACCCCTCAGATGTTCCGACTGTGCCCAAAATCTAATCAGTTCACCTAAGGCCCAAATAAAGCTAAAGTTTAAAATTTGGTGTTTTTCTCTTTTTCTATTTTTGAGTTTTCTTCATAGTTCGAAATTTACACTTTTGCTCAAATATCTTGAATATGGTCCATTTTAGAGAAATTATGTGTAGAACAAGAATTATAGAGAATATCACAAACAACTTTTATTTGGAACAATTTTCTTAAACATTTGTTTTATTTATATTTTGTCAAATTTCTCGAATACGGATTATTTTAGGAAAATTTTGTATAGGACAAACAGAGAATAATATTAGAAGTAACTTTTATTCAAAGAATTTTTTTCTCCAAACATAAATAGCAGATATATCACATAAAATATAAAAATGACCACCTATAAAGTACCACCCCCAGATGTTCCGACCCACTGTGCGAAAATAGTCAAAACGGATTTAGGGGACCCCAAAACGTAAAAATCCGTCGAAAACTTGAGGTCAAAAAAAATCATTTTTCCTATAGGTACTTTCCTTATCTGTATACAGACAGGAAAGTAAAAATAATACCTACATTAATAATTTATATAAATTTATAAAAGCCAGATATTTAAAAAATAACAATGGTTATTTATGTATCAAGGGCGTAAAACAGGTGTTTATGGACCACAAATGTCACTTGATAGCCTTTACTAGGAAGATCAACAGGATTGATTATCAATATAATATCAAGGGTAGACCAGTGTCCCAAATTGCATCCATTCGAGATCTGGGTGTTATTATGGACTCCATGCTCTCATTTGTCAATCACATTGACACAATAGTACTCAGAGCACTTGGTATGCTTGGGTTCATAAAGGGAAACACATCAGACTTTACAAGTATTAATGCTGTCAGGTTATTGTACTGTAGTCTTGTTAGGCCTCTGCTAGAATATTGCTCTTCAGTCTGGAACCCCCAGTATACTTGTCACATTCATAGATTAGAACAAGTTCAGAGAACATTTCTTCGCTACTTAGCATTTAAGTCAAATATTCCACAGATAGATGACTATTCCTATGATTTTGCGGCACTGCAAGAGACATTCTCCTTACCAACTTTGAGAATAATAAGAGATCAGGTAGATCTGAAATTATTTTTTAGGCTCATTAATTATATGGTTGACTGCCCTACATTGATTTCAAGCATGTTGTTGGCAGCCCCAACTAGAAGCACGAGATCAATAAACATTTTTCATCAGCCCTACATGAGAACTAATACTGGCCTCAATTCATTCATGTCTAGAGTTTCATGAAGTGCTAATGCTTGTACTGATAGTCTAGAATTTTTAATTCAAGCTTTTCTAATTTTGTGAGGGTGTTAAAACTTACTGTGACTTACATTCCCTAGCCTTAATATTAGTTGTTTCGATTTTGTACATTTTAATATATTTATGATTTTTGTTGTTAGTATATTAGTTTATCATTATTATGTCATGTTATTTAGATTGGCTCTATTTGAGGTTTTTTTGTTTTATTTGTTTTTTTTGTAACTTTGTACTGAAAGTGGGCAAGGCCCGTGAATAAATATATAAATAAATTAATAAATAAAATGTGGTAAGTGCCCAAGCCGCTAGGGGAGGGCTATTAACACGTAAGGTCCATAAACACCCTTTACGCCCAAAATACATACAACTCTTTATACACGACCCTTTCAATGATAATTTATTAACAAATATATAAAATTTTATGTTCCACCGTTTTAATGATTGTTTAATAATAAATAACTATTATTTTCTCTTTTTTGCCTTTTGTGAGCAGGTTATTATAAAAGAAATTTACTTTACCGCCCGGCGGGCAGTAAAAGAGTTCGCTGGCGGTAAAGTAGTTCTTGGGCAATAAAGGGACACTTTACGCCTGCTAATCGTATTTATAATCTGGACTTTATCGCCCTTTCCTGCATAAAAATTGATTACAAAAACAAGAAAACCCAGATATAGCACATTTACATCAAAATAAATTATTTAAAAATATAAATATCTAAATACTCAATACTCAAATTTCTAAAAAACAGTGTATAAAGTTGGTTAAATGGTATAAATAGTAAACAATTGACAGCTCAATTGATAGCTATTTTCAAAGCCATCAATATTTAGCCAATAAAATACAAGCATTTCTTGTTGCCATGGCAACTTGTGTATTTTTTCAGAAATTTTCTCTTGCTGGGGTACCCTGGATGGTATTACATTGGGCAATTCTTGACATAATAACAAGTGACAACATGGAACTTAATAAAATGTCAACTGTCAACAATCAACCAGTAGTGCGTTTTGTTAAACTTGCTATAAAATAATAAAAATACCGAAGCAATTTTAAAAATTAATTTATATAAAATAAAATTGAAAAAAAAATAATTTAATTAGTCTTTAATCCTAAAATTGAACCCGAGACCTCTGCATGAAAGACAAATGAGTTAGTCACTGCTCCATCGCCATACACAATATTTTAGTTTTAATACTCGTAATTAAATTGATTTCATATAGTTTTATTAAAACTAGTGTTCGCCCAGTGGTCGAAATTCGACCATAAACATTATTGAAAATTTGAGAAAAACATGCATATGTCGAGGCGCGAATCCCTCCCGCAATACATGTACAAAATGTATACTATCCCATGAAAATCGCCGCAGTCCCATCAAAATTAGTGACAACCGCTAAGAAATTGTCGCAGCTGTTCCGAATTCCCTCGCAGTCTCTGAATTCTCCCACAGTCGCTGAGCAATCACTAGCAATCGTTAAAAATCGCGAAGTCAGTTGACATTGTCGTTGTAGGTGCTTTGACTAAGCCATCTAATTAGGCATTCCAACGACCTGTCAAACAATAGGTGCCAGTCATACCATGGTGCCAGTGGGAAATTCTTGTATATTTAAGGGGGTAGCGACATAGTCTTGCAACTTGGACGCTATTTTTATTCGAAGTAGTACTCATAGATATATGTAGTACTCGCCAAGCCTGCCAATTTATGAAGAAATGTATAGGTGGGTTTTTTAAATATTATTTTTATTGTGTTTGACATAAAATATTTAAATGTAATCCATTATTCATGATTTTACGTAAAGTAGATAGAATACACCATATGTCGCCACCCTTAGATATACCAAACCTGCCCACTGGTAATTCATTTGTTTGGAATGCCTAATAATAGTCCAATTAAATAACGAAAAAAAGCCCCTTCGAGCTTACATTAATTTGTAATTGGATGAAACAAAAAGGACCTTGTGTATTTTGATGTGATCTTTCCGAAAAAAAGGATAAAAAAGATGTAGCAGTTTTTCAATTTTTTTTAAATTAGGAAAAACCGGGTTTTCCGGAATTTTCCATTGTAAAAATGCAAATTATCTGGGCAAGTATCATTCCGATAGTGAAAATAAATGCACCATTCGAAAGAGGAGGCAAAAATAGTTCGGAAATTCATTGCACAGGTAGTTTTAATGGCGAATTTCTCGCCGCCAGAAGTGCTTTTACCAAAAAGTCGTTTTTTCGTTTTTTTGATCAGAACCATGGACATGAAATTTGCGATGAATTTGTGGCGAAATTATAAATGTTAGACATATGTGCCCATGAGAGAAGTTGCGTAT